CGTAAGAGTTTAGTAAGACTGGAGTCGCCCAGATGAAGTGTGACTTGGAGAAGAGTCCTGACGTGCTGGGGGAGGGCACGCCCCACAGAGCGCATCCCGCCCTGCCTTGATGCGCCCCCCTCCCTCCCTAGCTGCCCTGGAAGTCGCTCACCAGCATCATCGAATACTACTACATGTGGAAGACCACCGACAGATATGTGCAGCAGGTGAGCTGCCCACCCTTGCCCGTCCCCTCTCTCCAGGGCCGGGGCACCTGGGGGCGGCGAGGGGCGGGAGGCAGAGGGCAGGTGTCCCAGGGCACCCGCTGCTCTGCCAGCCAGGCCCTGGGTGAATTTTAAGACGACCTCTCACGAAGATCTTCCTGAGGGAGGCAGTGCAGGGACAGCACCTGCTGGCCTCCCTGACCCTCTGTTTTGTGTTTGAAGAAACGCTTGAAAGCCGCGGAAGCAGAGAGCAAGTTAAAGCAAGTTTATATCCCCAACTAGTAAGTGCGCCTCGTGGCTGCCCCGCTCTCCCGGTGGGGGGGGGCGGCGGGTGCTGGCGTCAGAGGGTCCCGCGGCACTACCCTGCCTAGTGCCAGGAGCACTGGGGGCCTGTCACCAAAGCCCCTGGTGGCCTGGGATAGGTGAGGTGGGGTGTGGCTGAAGGCAAGGCCCAGGCAGACGGACCTGGGGGCAGACAAGGGCTGGGACCCCCGCGGGGGCTGCTCCTGGGACTTCAGGGGTGGAAGGCCGTACGCCCTGGGCAGGGGAGGGCGGCTGGCTCCACTGTGGCCAGGCGGGTCGGGTGGAGGGTGCTGCCGGGGCCCCGGGAGCCACTCATCCCATCTTGGCGCTCCTGTGACTCCCCTCTTTCGCTTACCTAAGTAACAAGCCGAACCCAAACCAGATCAGCGTCAACAGTGTCAAGGCAGGCGTGGTGAACGGCGCAGGGGCGCCAGGCCAGAGCCCTGGGGCCGGCCGGGCCTGCGAGAGCTGTTACAGTAAGTGCCCCGCCCGGCACCCAGGGCGTGCCCCGACCCACAGCACTGGGCGCCCCCGCACCGCCCCGGGGGCCCGTCCCGGGGACAGGGGCCACACCCTGCCTGGGGAAGCCCTCTCCCGGGGTACGAGGGGGTGCCCGGGCCCGTGGGGACAGGGCGGCGGGCAGGCGGGCGGGCGGGTGACAGCTGTGTAATGCTCTCTGCCGTCACTGGTTCTGCTTAAGAATGCGTCTATTTCCAACTTTGTTGTCCGTAGCCACCCAGTCTTACCAGTGGTATTCTTGGGGTCCCCCTAACATGCAGTGTCGTCTCTGCGCATCTTGTTGGACATATTGGAAGAAATATGGTGGCTTGAAAATGCCAACCCGGTTAGATGGGGAGAGGCCAGGACCCAACCGCAGTAACATGGTAAGTGGGCCCTCCTCCCCGCCCCAGCACGTGCCCCACGGCCCGGCCCTCAGTCATGGCGCTGTGTCGGGGCCGCGCGCCCCCTTCCACAGAGCCCCCATGGCGTCCCAGCCCGGAGCAGCGGGAGCCCCAAGTTTGCCATGAAGACGAGACAGGCCTTCTACCTGCACACCACCAAGCTCACGCGGATCGCCCGGCGCCTGTGCCGAGAGATCCTGCGCCCGTGGCACGCTGCCCGGCACCCCTACACGCCTATCAACAGCGCAGCCATCAAGGCCGAGTGTGAGTGTCTGCCCCGCAGGGAGATGCAGCGCGGGTGGTGGGGAGGGGCGCGCAGGCCTGGGCAGGAGTCCTGACCCCGGCCCCCACCATTCCCCCGGCCCCTCGCAGGCACGGCCCGGCTGCCGGAAGCCTCCCAGAGCCCGCTTGTGCTGAAGCAGGCCGTGCGGAAGCCCCTGGAAGCCGTCCTTCGGTATCTTGGTGAGCCCGCCCCCTCCAACTCAGCCCGGCGGGAGGGCCAGGTGGCCTACAGAGAAGCCGCGCCCCGATCCCCCAGTAGGGTCCAGCCCTTCGGGCACACCGAGCCCGCCTGTCTTGCCATCCGCTCTCCTTGACCTTGAAGTCCCTGGGAGCCTGGGTGGGGCACACTAGACCAGCACCCACAGGGGCTGCCCTGTGCCCTCGGGGAGGCCCTCGTGCTGTGTGGGCCCTGAGCACCTTGGCTGGCTTTACCCGCCACCCGACCAGCCACACGATCCTTGTCCCAAGGGTTGGGGGGGCAGGGGCAGGGGCAGGGCTCTTTGCTTGGCTAGGCTTGGCTGGCTCATGAGCCATTGCCCCCCGGGGTGGAGGTGGCTTTCCCTCCAAGAAGGACATTCCAAGACCGTGAGCCAAGCTGCTCCAAGCAGACACAAGTGGCCCTGGCTCCACTTGCTGTCTGCAGTCTCGGTCCTGGGCCTGGCCTCGCCCTGACCTGTGCGAGGAGGTCCTGAGAGGATCCACGGGCGGGGGGCCTCGGCAGATGTGGCCAGCCCTGTGCGTCAGCTCTGGTGGTCCCTAGGTGGGTCTGCTTGTTTGTGGGTGTCTGGAGCCCGGAGCCCGTCAGCTGCGGCAGTCGCTGGTGATCCCGCTCAGTGGTTGGGGCTTGGGCCTGGGGGTGCAGGCCTGTACTGCTCTCTGGGGCCCTGGTCTCTGTGGACCCCAGGCCGTGTTCTCCTGGGTCATGCTGCTGATGACCCATTGAGCACCTGCCCACGTTGCCCCCCACAGAGACCCATCCCCGCCCCCCCAAGCCCGACCCTGTGAAGAGCGTGTCCGGTGTGCTCAGCGGCCTGACCCCGGTCAAGGCGGCCCCTGTCATCAACAACGGCTCCCCCACCATCCTGGGCAAGAGGGGCTACGAGCAGCACAACGGGGTGGACGGTGAGTCCGGGGCCTTGGGCTCGGCCAGCACAGCCTGTGCCCGGGGGCCAGGCCCGGGTCCCCGCCGCGCCGCGCCCGCTGACCGTGTGTTCTCTGCTCTCTCCTGCCGCGGGCGCTGCCAGGCAACGTGAAGAAGCGCCTCTTGATGCCCAGTAGGGGTAAGGCCTGGGGCGCCGGCACGGTGCCGCGTGTGCTGTG